GGATTTTAACTGTAGCTTCTTCAAACTAACTTTTGCAGATTTTCAATGGGGTTTGCTGCCTAGACAATACATTGTTCCCCAGGCTAGACTGACAGGTAAGCACCTCCCCTGCACCACCTGTGCATGTGCCTATCTCCCTCTTCTCTTCTGCTGACAATCCAGTATCTGATGGGAAAAGGAGGGGTGTTAATCTCCTTGGCGGAACAATGTAGCTTTCTGAAGGTTCCCAGGTGGCCATGCTTACTTACAATGTCCAACTTCCCTTTTCTTTATTTTCTTTATTAATACTTACTAGCTAATAACAACAATAATAAAACTGCCTTACTTAGACGCCTTACTTGATTTACCTATTATTAACTTTTCTTTTTCCTGCTTAAAGCCACAAGTAGGTGAACAATGGAATATTTTGTTCAATAGTGTTAGTCAAGGTGAGTCACAAATTCTGAGAAAAGTGTCTTTCCCCAGAATTATAGCAATTGAACTGCCAATTAAAACAAGAACAAACTTTCCAACAGGTAAGAACAGGTAATCACAGAGCACTTGGCTCCCCCAGAGGTCTGGTGTCCATTAAGACTCACTCTCACCCAGCTGGCATGGCTCAGTGATTGAGCTTTAACCTATAAACCAGGAGGTCATAGTTCGTTCCTGGTCAGGGTACATGCTGAGATTGAGAGCTCGATGCCTAGTTGGTGGAGGAGTGTGTGTGTGTGTGTGTGTGTGTGTGTACAGGAGGCAGCCGATCACTGATCCTCTGTCATCATTGATGTTTCTCTCTTTCTTCCTCTCCCTTTAAAAAAAAAAAAGACTTGGTCTTATGCTGTCTTTAACCAGAGGACCACACAGGGTGGATACTGGAGAGGAACCTGCTGGGTTTAGATTTTTGCCTCCGCCTGGCCAACTAAATGTCCCTCAGTAAGACACTTAAATTCTGGGTCTCAATCATCTCACTTGAAAGGATGTGTATTTTATGGATGGTAGGCAGAAGTCACAGGGAATCCTCCCTGCAGCATGAAATATCTTTTATTTCCCTTTCGGGACTTAAAGAATTGCTAACTTTCATTCATGACTGAGAACGAACAGGATAGGTGCTCTAGACGTACAGTTGGGAATTTCTCATCCATGTTCTCTGGTCCTGGGTGGTGCAGCACCAGCCTGGCTCCCGGTTCCCAGCGACTGTGGGGAGGAAGCTGGGGTTGCCCGGGACAGGATCTGGGCTGCCTGTACCTCTGGAGGGACAAGCACAGGCCCTGGGGTGGTAAGGGTCATCAAGTCCTCGGTCACCTCCATGTGGTCACAGGCAGAGAGTAGACTGGGCCTGCTGAGTAGGCCCAGGATGTGTGGGCATGGAGGGCCCAGGCTAGTGCCATCCACGGTGGTTTGGTCTTCACCTTGATCTTCACCGAGTAGGAGGACTCAGCTAGGCTTTGCTGGAGAGCAAGGGAGGTCTATTTGTATTTTTTAAATGTTCAATTTATTAAACATACATCTATCAATAGAACTTTAATAAATAAACTTTAATATTTAAACAGTGATTGCAAACGTTATCAATTTCCTTAAACAATAACAAATGCAATTACAAATTTAATATGTTTATTTGAATACTCTTTAAACACTTCACAAAACAAAAGCAAATACAATAGTTATAAGCATTATAAACATATATGTACTGTCATTACACTTAAATTTATTTTAAGACACCAACACTGTAGACTTAGTTCATTACTTCATGGTTTCTACTTGCTATTATTTTTCTCTGGGAAGAAGATACTTTTTAAAGGTTGCTCAAATATGTCTTTTGATGTTTTCTTAATGTTACTGAAAAATTGTTAGACTCCCTGCACCCCCAAAGAACACTGTCTCAGAACCTCATATACACCTGGCTATAGAATTGGGCTTCTCAGCAGGTTGATCCATGCTTTGGGCTCTCAAGCTTGTTGTATCTGCCAAGGAGTTATCTTTGTTCCAGTAAAACTTATCCTGTTACCCTAATAAGTCTTTTAATGTTTGTGTCTTCCACTAAATTTGTAGTTTCTGCATCTATAATGATGTATGCCTTTGGTTTCACTTGGGCAGAGTTATGGAACCCCTTGTTCTGTCATTATGATATAGTAAGCATTACTTTAAAATTATGCCTGTGTTAGTAATGCCATATGGTTAAGGGCCATCTAGTAGATTTGTCTCCTGGGAGAGAGGGTTGTGTTTGCACATTTGTGTCCATCTTTAGGACATTTGGCTCACCCAGCATCTCAGGACCCTCTTTCTCCTTGATCCTGGAGTAGAAGCAATGCTGATTAACCAGTTAAACTTCCTTTCTACCTGGTTATCATGTGTATGTAGCCACATGTACTGATCTTGGAACACTTCCTATTTTTTCTGGGACTATTTAGCTCACACACAATCTTTTGTTTTCATTTATTTCCCATTGAGCAGTGAAAATGAACACATATCTGTTCATTATAAACATATATGTACTTAGAAGAAACACACATACTCATAATTAGTAATATTCACTTTCCTATAAATTTGAAAAACTATTAAAAAAAACCCTCTCTGTGCCATATCTACTATGAGGATGAAGACCATTCTCAGCAATCACTCTGTGGACATCCCAGAAAATGTGGACATCCCTGTGAAAGGATGTATTTTGTGGTGAAATAGAAAGGAACTGGCCACATGATATGTAGTCATGTACAATACGTGATCAAGGCTGTTACACTGGGCTTCTCTTACAAGATTAGGTCTGTGTACACTCACTTCCCTATTAACACTTGTGGTTATTCAGGAGAATGTTGAAATTAGATGTTTCTTGGGCAAAAAATACACCCCATGAGTTCAGATAGGGTCAGGCATTGCTTGCTCAGTATCTCAAGCCCAGAAAGATGAGCTAATTCTTGAAGGAAACCACATTTAAGTTGTATCAATTCAGCTGCTTTGATTGAGCAAGACACAACGGTTGAAACAAGGATATCAGAAAGTTTTTAGGTGGTATCTATGTTTCTGAAAAAGGAACAGTTCAACAGGTAGATGAATGAATAAGATTTAAGTTGTCTAACTATAAAAACACCAAGATGCTGAATGATTTGTCACACTTATTTGTCATAGTTAAAGATGCAATGAAAGCCTCACATTAAATTAAAAAAAAAAACCCTTAAAAAATCCCAATATAGTCACTCGTATACTTTTTGGTAACAGTTTACAGTAACTACTTTGTAATATCATCATGAAGTTATGTCTTTTACAAACTAATTGTAACAGACACTCTCGGTGCCTAACTCCCAGTCTCTTGTCCTTTCTTGCTTATTGGTGGGGTCCCAAATATGTCTGTGTCTTCATCTTTCCTCATGTAACTCAGGGATACATCCTGGCAAGGTCAGGCTGCTCATGGTGCTTTCATTTCCTTTGTCTCTTTGAAGGATCTGGGTTTGGTGTTCAGTTTTGGCCAAAGATGGGTGAGGGCAGCTGCTGGATGGTTTCTGGGAAAGGTCCTCTGCTCTTAGAGAGGCACAGGAGGAATGGCTCTTCTTTTCCAAAGGGATGCTGCTATGTATTTAGGGGATTATTGAGGTGGTAGCAGGCATTTTGCTAAGGAGGTAATTTATTGAGGAGCTGACTCATGAAGGATGGAAAGACAGAAAAACAAACAAATCCTGGCTTCCTTTTTTCTTTCTTTCTTTCTTTCTTTCTTTCTTTCTTTCTTTCTTTCTTTTTTTTAAAACCTTAATTTTTATATTTATTTATTAATTTGTTTTTAGAAAGAGGGGAAGGGAGAGGGATAGAGAGATTAGCTGCATCCTGCATGGTCCCTACTGGAAACTGAGCTGGCAACCTGGGTATGTGCCAGATTGGAAATCAAACAGGGGACCTCTTGGTTCATGGGTTGATGCTCAACCACTGAGTTATACCAACCAGGCAAACCTTGGCTTCTTGATGATGCTGTTGAGCCCCAGAGTAAACAACCCTAGAGCCAGTCTGTCCTATGGGCTGCTTCTTTTCTGCAATAAAACCTTTCCTTATTGTTTGAACTATTTTAAAATTTTTTTTAATTAACTGCAACTAATTAACCAATTGATTTTTGGTTATTAACAAGTTACATTTATCTATTGCAAGTAACCCTATTTATTATTTAGTCTTTGCTTCTAAAAAGTCACAACATAGCCAGTGTTCTAAAAAGTCACAACATAGCCAATGGACATCTTGCCCTATCAGAACTGTTTGTGACTTCCCTGAGAGCAAAGAGCTTACAGGCATGTGCGCATAACCCATGGACAGGCCATAGTGCAGTGAAGGCCTGGGGAGGGGGCAGGAGCAGAGTGGAGGGGATATTGGGGGAAAAAGGAGTATCTGTAATAGTTTCAACAATAAAGGTAAAAATAAAAAACAACAAAAAATTTAATTTTCATCCTGTAGGCAACAGAGAGGCCAGGACTTAAAAGCTAGAAAGGAATGAGCCGCAGAGCTTTGCACAGGGCACAGACACAAGTGTTCCCACTTGGTTAAATTAGTTTGGTGGCTGAATGTACGTTCCTCAAGTGCAAAAGACCCGGCCTCCTTGCTTCTTCATCCACCCCTACGACCCTAAGCATGACCATTGGCAGGGGTGAACCAACCTGGGAGGCCAGCGTGTGTGTGTGTGTGTGTGTGTGACTTCGTGTGTCCATGTGTTCAGATGGTGGGGACTTACCACACACATTCTACCTGCTTACTGGGCTAGGTGTCAATTTCTTCTTCCTGCATATTTTCTGCCCAAAATGTCTCTGCTTCCTCATTCCATCTTCCTCCCACAAAGATAAGGGTCTGCACCCCAAACCGCATAGTGCCTGCCTTCCTGAGCTGGGGCCCAGGTCTGGGCTGCCCAGAACCGGATTGATAGAGGCCTTGTAATTCTTCTGCAATTTCCCAGTAAGGCTTTGGGGGGCGGGGCGGGGCGGGGTCTTGAGCCCTTTTATTAGGCACCTCCACTCTTCTTCCCACTCAGAAGGCACGAAACTTCTCTGTGGAAGATGGGTGTCTACCGCATCCGCGTGTCCACTGGGTCCTCGCTCTTCGCGGGCTCCGCCAACCAGGTGCAGCTGTGGCTGGTGGGCCAGCACGGGGAAGCCGCGCTCCGGGGGCGTCTGAGGCCCGCGCGGGGCAAGGTGAGCTGGCCCCCACTCGGAGGACCTCACCTACCTGGGAAGAGGCCCAGGAGGATCTTACCTACCTGGGAAGAGGCCCAGGAGGACCTCACCTACCTGGGAAGAGGCCCGCGCTGGGCGGAGCGGGGCACACAGAGAACGCCCTCTGGCTTCCTTGGGATGGAGAGGATGCTCCTGCAGCCCCTCCTTCACAGAGCGCTCTCTTTTTGCGGAGATCCTGCAGCGGCTGCATGTCTCTGAGCTCCTTTATTTTGTTTAGAAAAGAGGAAGGGAAGGAGGAAGGGAGGGAGGAGGGAGAGAAAAAGAGGGGGAGAGAGAGAGAGAGAGAGAGAGAAGAAAAGAGGAGAGGAGAGAACCAGATTTTGTTTTTGTATGTGTCCTGATCCGGGGTGGACCTGGAACTTTGGGGCGTCAGGTCACGCTCTAACCTACTGAGCTACCTGGAGAGGGACGCTGCCTCCATTCGGAAACTCTATTTCAAACCTCTTCCACCGAGGCGGGGAGGAGAGGAGAGGAGAAACTAAGAGCTGAATTTCCTGATCCCTTCCCATCTCTCATCACATATACCGGTTCCGCCAGGGCTCCTGTTACTTTTTCTTCCCCATTTCCCATCCCCACATTTCCGTTGCCCACCCCGCTCTTTCCAGGACCTCCAGATCCGGATGTCTGTCCCGCGGGTGCCTCAAAGGAACTTGCCCAAGCGAGGTCCTCCCTTTCCCACCTCCACACCTCTCCCCTTGCCTTCCCGGAGGTGTTACGCCAGCGTCCCGCTCTGTTTGCCTGGAACCAAGAATCGAGCGCTGTCAATGCTGCCTCCTGGACATCTCTGGCTTCCGAGTCCAGATGCCCGACCACCTGTGTCCCCCTGAACCTATGCCACCTTCCGCCTCTTCGCCCGCCCGGCAGCTTCCTCTCCTGCCCTTCCAGCCCCTCTGCAGACAGATCGATTTCATCAAAATTCACCCTCAGCCTCATAAGACCTCTCCACAGACATCTGAATGGCTTCTGCCGGTTCTCAGGGCCACCTTCTTGGCTTACCCTTGGAGACTGTTCAGGATCTAGTCATGCTCATCTCCTACGCGCTCTGTGCTGCACTCACCCTCCACGCTCTCGCTTCCTCTCCATGGCACGCATTTCTCCAACCTTTCCTCTCTCTCACTTTCCTTGGCTAATCCCCTCACACCCAGAGGTCTCTGCTCACACCCAGCAGAGTGGGCACTGGGTCTCTGGGCTGTAAGTGCCTGGTCAACAGTGTATCTCCCCGCGCAACTGTGGGCTCGCCCGCGGTGGTGCCCAGCTCAGTGCTGGGTTGGATCAATGACTACGAGGAGGAAAGAGGAGGAAAGAGGAGAATAGAGGAGAACAGAGGAGAGATCGGGCAGGAAGAAGTGCATCTTCCCTGCTCCTCTTGCTCACCCCGGGCTGAAGAACTCCAAGACCCATAATGGGGATGAGGTCACACCTGGTCGGGGTGCCCCTTTTCTCTGTTTGACTCCTTTTCCTGATCTTTCCCAGAGACCCAGCCAAAGTGCCAGGGCGGGGAGCTGGGCTCAGTTCCAGCTGAAGGGCCAGGGCGGTGAGCTGGCTCAGTCCCAGCTGAAGGGCCAGGACGGGGAGCTGAACTCAGTCCCAGTACCCACTTCAGGCGATGCCCCTGGATGCTGAGCCTCTTGTGTTGCCTGCAGGAGACAGAGTTTCAGGAGGATGTGAAGGAATACCTAGGGCCGCTGTGTTTTGTGAAAATGCGCAAAAAGCAATTACTACAGGATGACGCCTGGTTCTGCAACTGGATCTCCGTGCAGGGCCCTGGGGCCGGTGGGGAGGAGTACCTGTTCCCCTGCTACCGCTGGGTGGAGGGCAGTGGCATCCTGAGCCTCCCAGAGGGCACAGGTGAGTGCAGGGTGGGGTGTGAGGAGGCCTCTGGGGCCCAAGAGAAGCTGGGTGGGGAGAGGAGGAGAAGGAACAGGGTGTGAGGTCAGGAACCTGAGGGCTGGGTCTTTTTTCCTTTGGGAAGAGGTGGATTGCTGGAGTTGGCAGCAGGCTGGGGAGGGGCATGATGCTGAAGGCTCACCCCTCCCTATCAAGGGTGAACTGAGAAGGCACCCCTGGCAGGGACAGGGGGAGGCTCTCAGGAGAAGCCTCATTGTCCATGCCCTTGTCCTTTCCCTCCTTCCTCCTCTAGGCCGCACGTTGGTAGATGACCCTCAAGGCCTGTTCAAGAAACACAGGGAGGAGGAGCTGGAAGAGAGAAGGAAGCTGTACAAGTTAGCCTAACCTGCCCCTGATAATCCTCCCCCCTCCCCCCAACCTGGCAGTGAGTCCTGGCCCTTCCTGGCATCAATGCCTGATTTCATTTCTCCACCACAGATGGGGTAACTGGAAGGAAGGGTTAATCCTGAATGTGGCTGCAGACAATTTATGTGACCTTCCACAAGATGAGAGGTTTCTGGAGGACAAGAGAGCTGACTTTGAGTCTTCACTGGCTGTGGGGTGAGAACAGTGGGGGCTGGAGGAAAGGGAGTTATCTTGATCCAGGGACTCCTATGTACTGAACAGAGCTGGATTAGCCTAAGGGGGTACTGATAGTTATAATGTATGATTTTGAGACTAACTTTCAAATACTTCACCTATCCTTACCTGAAGGCTGGCCAAATTAGCTGTCAAAGACTCTCTAAATGTTCTTGTTCCCTGGAATGATCTGGATGACTTCAACAGGATCTTCTGGTGTGACCACAGCGAGCTGGCTGGTGAGTATCCCTATCTCAGTACTTCTCCCAGGACCCTTATCACCCAATCTAGGGAACCAGGGCTGGGAGACCTGAGTTCTGGGTTTCTCTGGTGGGCTAGATGCAAGAGGGAATGGTTTGGTGGGGTTAGAAGAACCAGGGCACCAGATCTCACAACCTGCTCCACAACTGCCACCCTCAGGGAAGGTGCGGGATTCCTGGAAGGAGGATGCCTTATTTGGGTACCAGTTTCTCAATGGTGCCAACCCCATGCTGCTAAGGCGCTCCAGTGGCATTCCTGCCCGCCTAGTATTCCCTTCAGGGATGGAGGAGCTGCAGGCCCAGCTGGAGCAGGAGCTGAAGGTATGGACATGATGGCCCAAAGGAGGCCACACAGTGAAATGGGAGTGTGGTCTGAGTTTATGCTGCTCCAGGCCCCACTATGAGCCTAATTTGCCCCCAGATGCAAGAGGGGATTCTACAGGGGAAATCTTGGAGGTGTGCCACCACATGGCCTTCCCACTCAACTGAGAAAAGCATATTGTGGAGGAAGAGTGTGAGAGGGTGATATATAGAATCAAAATGAGGAAATAACTGGGCCTTGGTGCTAAGGATTTGGGGGAGTGTGTAGTAAGAATCAGATGGGGGGGGGGCTTATTAATAAAGAGTCAACATGGATCAATTGATGGGTTGGACAGACAAAATTCCTGGATTATAGGGTGAGACAGACTTGGGTTTGAACCCTGGCTGTGCTGTTTCCAAATCATGTGACTTCAGGCAAGTTATCTATCTTATTTTATCATGTTTCCTTAAAAAAAACACACACACACAAAAAAAAAAACCAAAAAAACACCCCAAAACCCTGGATTTAATTCAAGTGTTTGTAAGACTTATGTGAAGCAATAGCGTGTGATTCATTACCTGTTACAAAGTAGGTGATGGAGATAAGTTAGTTTCCTTCTTGTTCTTCTTCCTTTGGGGGATCAGGGTGGGAAGTAGATGCCTTATACTGATAGCCCTCACCCTCTGCCCCCATCCAGGGAGGCACGCTGTTTGAAGCTGACTTCTCCCTGCTGGATGGGATCAAGGCTAATGTCATCCTATGTAGCCAGCAATACCTGGCTGCCCCTCTGGTCATGCTGAAACTGCAGCCTGATGGGAAACTCTTGCCCATGGTCATCCAGGTGAGAGGACCCAGAATTTCTGCTCCCTGGTGGTTGGCCCTCTCAGCTCAGCCCTTCACCCAAATTCATTGAGGATTCACTTGTGCTAAAGCACTGGAGATGGCAGTATAGGAGGCAATGGGAAAAGGCAGAAAGGTGTGGTCTAGCTGAAGAGAGAGACTGGGAAAATCTAACTATGCTCCAGGGCTGAGGAAGTACCCGAGGGTGGAGATAGTGTGGGAGGGGTCATGGGAGGTGGGTTGGGCATAGCTGTGGCAAAGGAGCAGGACCTCTTCCCAGGGGAAGATGGGTTGGGCAGTGAGGCTGATGTGTGCAGAGTATGAGAAGTTAGATTGTCAGTGGACCATTAGGCTGGAGTGTTGAGGGGTAATGTGAGGGCCCAGATTATAGTGGTGGTTGATGCCAAATCAAGGAGTATGAATACAGGAAGTTGGTGTTGGCTGTTGTAAAAGATGCTCTAGGCATATTCTATGGGTCATTTTGTGTAGGATGGATTTGGAGAAGGGAGATTCTAATCTGGAGATTAGGTTATCATGCTACAGCAATTGCCCAAGATGGGGGTAATGGACTCAAGTTGTGGAGAATAGCTGTGGGTGTGCAGAGGAAAGCTATATGGGCATGCAGAGGAAGATTAAACTGGCCTGGATTCAAGGAAAGAGAAAAGGAAGAGTTAGGCAAGACACCTGTGGAAATAGGACAAATAAAGAGGAAAAGATGCTCAGATGGGCTTTTGTCTGGCCAATTATGAGGGAATTAGAGGCCTGATGCATGAAATTTGTGCAAGAGTTGACCTTCCTTGACCCGGCTGGGGCACCAGCTTCCCTTTGGCACCTGGGACACAGGCTTCCCTCTGGCCACTGGCAGACACCCAGGACCCAAGCTTCTCTTACAGCCCCTGTTTGTCTGGAAGGTCATCCGGAAGGACATCATATCTAATTAGCATATTATGCTTTCATTATTATAGAGGGGGTGACACTCCAATTATTACATCTAGCCAGTTACTTGCTGAGAACTGGAGACTTAATCTGTTGAATAGGGATGGTGTTGAAAGATTAGGGAGAAGCTGAAATTTCTGAAAAAGTGTGGGTTAAAGGAAGCAAAAGGTTTGAATCTTCTCCACACGGAGGGGAGTGAAAGGGGAAGTGCAGGCCAGGAAGTTGGTAGAAGAGGAGCTTCTGCAGAAGCAGAAGCAGCTTGTACAATGTTAATGCACTGAGTGGGTCAGGAGAAGGAATAGTTGCTGCTGGGAGTAGCAGCAGTGAGATGGAGAAAGCTAAGTAAATCTGGGGAAGAAGGGAGGAGTTAAATATGCAAAAGAGGGGGAATCTGCTGGGCACCTGGGCACTCATCCTCTTTTCCCCACACTGTATTTTTGCTCCAGCTCGAATTGCCACGCACGGGATCCCCACCACCAACACTTTTCCTGCCCACGGATCCCCCGATGGCCTGGCTTCTCGCCAAATGCTGGGTCCGTAGTGCTGACTTCCAGCTTCACGAGCTTCTCTCTCATCTTCTGAGAGGACATTTGATGGCTGAGGTTATCGCTATGGCCACCATGAGATGCCTTCCATCGATACATCCTATCTTCAAGGTAATACTTATCCTCTTCTCTCCTGCCTCTGCCTCTGCCCCATGTCACAGTCCGACGTCTGGAGGTACCCTCTCTGTGGAATCTAAGGGAGCAGGGAAATGCCAACCAATGAGAGACAAGGGAGCAAGAGAGTGAGATGGCTTGTTCTGCATTTTCAACAGGGTGACATCACCTCCCAAGGAGGTGGAAATGATTCATTGGCAAGGTGGGAGATAAGGGGGTGGGAGGTGATAATGTATGAAGCACAGATTGATGAACATACAGTATATAGACAGTGCCTACAAATGATTGAGGATTCCATCACAAAAGGGAAGACCAAGCAAATAACATAGTAGTCTTTTCCAGCCAGTTTTGACCTGTCCTAAATAGTAACACACAGACCAGTTAGACATACTCAGGTCCACAACAGTGGTCGGTTTGTTTCATTTAACAGACAATTTGAATTGAGTATTCACCCATTAACTTTTCTTATTGGGTGCCTCCAATGTTGCAAGAACCATTCTAGATGATTGTGATTTTGGAAATGTTCATGTCCATTTTGGGCTACCAGCTAATAAAGACTGTATTATGACAGATCAGCTGTAACAAGTACAATGCAGAGAATCAAAGCATATCGATGTGATGTCGAGTTCAGACTGAGTGGCCAGGAAAGGCTCCCATGTTGAGATGACATAGAGAATGAGGCTCTGAGGAGCCAGCCTTGAGATGATCAAGGTGCACATTGTTCTGGGCAGAGGGAACAGCTGAGAACAGTGCAGAAGTCCTAAGGCAGGAGCAAGCCTGGCATGTTTGAGCAAAGGAAAGGAGGTGAGTGTAATGAACAAAAGGGAGAAGGGAGGAGAGGAAGGTCTGCAGTAGGCGGGGTAGCGCATGCATTCCAGTGGAGGCAATTAGACTCCTCACAGGGGGTGAAAGTGAGTCCAGAACTATGGAAAAGTTCTAGGTTGCAAAAACGTAGAATATTTTATGTATAAAGCACAAATATATAGCTCTATCTTGTTTGGCTCAGTGGGTAGAATGTTGGCCTACAGACTAAAGGGTTTCAGGCCAAGGGCATATACTGGGTAGTGGGCTCAGTCCCCAGTAGTGGGTGGGCAGGAGGCAGCCAATCAATGATTTTTTTCTCATCATTGATGCTTCTATCTCTCTCCCATCCTCTTTCTCTCTGAAGTCAATGAAAAAATAAATAAAGGACACACACACACACACACACACACACACACACACAATATAACAGATATATGTGCAGCATTAAAATTTCAATGGTTGAGGGGAGAGAAAACACTATCTGAAAAGGCTGTGTAGAGGAGTGATAATGAAAAAGATTGAGAAACATTGAACTAGAACTTGAACAGTCTAATATGAAAAGGGAAGGAGAATTATTTCTTC